CGTCATTTCAAATAAATGCACAATTTAAAATATGAAGTTTCTGTTTATTTGAGCATGTGTTTTGGTAAAAAATGTTTCCTTCAGTTTTTGCCATTTATATTGTTAAGTGGTGAATTGGTATGATGCATGCAGTCATTAAACTATTAAAGTGTTTTTTTCACTAAGCCAAAAACAGATACATTTAATGTATGTTATTTTTAATGTAATTATGATGTCTATTTTCAGTGCTGTCTCCTTACAATACTATGGCAGACATTATGTAAGATAATACTGAAAATATGCTCATATTACCACAGTATAGCGTATTTAAAACATGTTATCACCATGGTACAATACACAAAGCTTAATGGATTACCATCGTATTTTAACCTAAGATACATTGTAATACTATGTAGTACACCATGGTATATAGATAGTCACACTACAATGTTATTACCATCGTGCTACTACAGTACTATTACTTTGATGATAATAGCACAGCACAGCCATCAGTCTGTCTGATGGTGTCTGCGCCCTCCTGCAGTATTTAACCTGCAGCTAATCAATCACACAGGTGCAATCTCCTTTTATCCACTTATCTCACAACAAACATGTCCGACCAAGTAATAAGAAGTTGATTTGAAGACAAGCGACTGGACTGCAATTGCTACACAAAAGGTTTCTCGTTTCAACCTCTGAAAAAGGACGTCATAAATAATGTACGCTGAATTCGTACAACCTGAACCCGTAAGAAAAATAAGGCGCACACTGCAAATTTGTGCAATTATTAATTAAAAAAAATCTAAGCGTAAATTCTAAAAGCCCAAATTAAAATTACATTTAGCGATTAAAATCTAATCCATCACCATGATTTGTGATAACTTCCTGTTCCCATTATACATCTTCCAGGACCGAATTAGCTTCCCGTCAGATAACCGCTACATCGGCTTCGCTTCCCTGGATTATTCACAGCGGCTGCATGAATACGTTACGTAATTAACGATTTCGTTAATGTGACAGCTCAGATAGCGATCGGATATGTAACAGAGCTCATGAGAGCAGCGGGGATATTTACAGACAGTTTTATAAATTTGAACCCCAGAAATTTCAGTATTTAACATACTGAGGAAAACAAAGAAAGATAATCTGTACCCATCGCTTCTGTTACGGCTTTGAGGCTCCACAGTGTCTCTCAGACTATTTTCATTAGCGGCATATCTACACACATCTCGAAAGGTAAACTGCGCTGCCTCGGAGCCACTTTAGTGGGCGATTACGCCCCAAGGTGAGTGTGTTTATCCGGCGGCCGAGGCAGACAATTGAAATTGATTTTTCCCCAGAGCCAACGGCTGGGGTTGAATTAACCGGGCGCCTCTGGGCTGGAGAAACTAGCGGGCAAGTGAAAGCGTTTGCAGTCAGGCACTACTAACGTGACACCGGGGCCTGAATGCAAACGGCGAAACGTGCAAATCCCGTTTTCTGCGAAAAAATTAAGCCACGAGAGTGTTTGCTGACAGCATGAATTAAACATTCAATCAAAACACAAGTACAAAAAACAATAAATAGAATTAAAGTAAGATAGATAGAAATAACAATATCACCCATATAAAGAAATATGTAAATGTATAAATAAAAGTGGAACATCAAGATTTAGGGTACAAACAAACAGCTTTGGGTGTGCAAATAAGCTTATAAAGTCAATTATTTAATGTAAGGTATATAATGGCTAAATTTTCATGTGTCTGGATGCCTGGAATATTTTAAAATGCTGTGTGATTGGACTTTGTATGCCCTCCTGTATTGCAAGGGTTTCTTCCAACATTTCCAAAATTTGTGGTTAGGCAAATAGGCATCTCTAAAGTACACAACATATGTGCAGCGGTGGGTAATTCAGGTCTAGAGAGTGAAAGTACAGAAGAGAATTTTGTTTTAACTGACCTGTTGAGTATAAAGAGTCAAAGAGTACTCAACTGGTTGGTTGAAACAAAGTCCTGGTCTGAACTTCTACTCTCTGGACCTGAACAACCCATCTCTGCATGTGTGCGCCCAGTGATGGAATGGCATCCCATACGGGGTTCATGGGATAGGCTGCAGGCCCACCATGACCCTATAGCGCAGTGTTTCCCAATCCGGTCCTCCGGGACCTACAGACAGTCCACGTTTTTGCTCCCTCCCAGCTCCCGAGCAAAAATGTGGACTGACTGTGGGTCCCTGAAGACTGGACTGTATAAGGGGTTACAAGGAAAACTGCTGCCACAATAGCCAACTAAAAGAATATAACTTCAAAAAAGTGACTGGCGGTGTCCTATGGGAGCCCAGTGTCATTTTTCACAGCGAACTCCAGATTTATGTAGGTGGAGAGCAGTCTCATAAGTGCTCGTCTAGACTGTCTCCCAACTCTGCACAGGATTCAGTCCCAGTTGTTGAGGGATCTATGGAACTCATTCTGCTTGCATCCGAGATGACTATTTGAACAACGCACTCCTGGTCGTTCAGGAACCTGTTTGCCTTGGACCACACAGTCCCGGTAGGAGAGAATCCCTGCAGATGTCAGAGATGAATGCTGATACAGTAGGAAGAGAATACAAACATCTTTACAGATTCAGGCTGGGAATGGAAAGAGGACCGCTTGGCTTCGCTGGGAAACATACCCTGTGTTCTTAAGACCCGACTATAAGCATTTACTCTTCACAATGATAGTCCAGGTCTATGTATATTTGTGAGATCCAAACTACGTGATGCTGGGATTATGGGAAGACTCATGGCTTTACTATGGGATTTCCTTTTCAGGGTTAAATGGGAGGAGGGAGGATATGGAGGAAACCACAACGCCATTTAAGTAAACAGACATAAACACGGACACTTCAACAGAGATTAAATGATATCGGGTGCATTGGTTAGCCCTGTTGCCTCAAACTTCGGCAACCCCATACTGAGTCTCTGCCCCAGCTTTGTGTGTGTGGAGTGTGCAGCATGCCATGGTCAACTGGAGTTGACAATGTCTTGTATTTTGTTTGGCTACTTATGGTTGACGTTAGGGCTGAGTAGTGGTTAAGGTTGTCATTGTTGGGATTAGGGTTTTCCAATAGAAATGAATGGACGGTTCCCACACAGATATGAAAATAAAAGTGTTTGCATGTGCGCATGCCCTATCATGGCATGTTGGCCCCCCATCCTCCCTTGTGCTCATAGTTTCCAGGCTCTTGGCCCCTGTGGCCCTGCATAGGACTGGGTGGATGGGTGGATTTTGTTCTTGCCAGTTGATTTCCAGGAGCGCAGTTGGCTCATTAGTAGGGGAAGTCGACAACATTGTATATCAAATACAATGGGCTTCCTCGGCTCCCTTCCTCTGATCCCTTCCTCTGATCCCTTCCTCGGCTCCCTTCCTCTGCACCCTTCCTCTGCTCCCTTCCTCTGCTCCCTTCCTCTGCACCCTTCCTCGGCTCCCTTCCTCTGCCCCCTTCCTCTGCACCCTTCCTCTGCTCCCTTTGTCGGCTCCCTTCCTCTGCTCCCTTCGTCGGCTCCCTTCCTCTGCTCCCTTCCTCGGCTCCCTTCCTCGGCTCCCTGGGACTCACACCTGACTGCTGCATCATTTCTTTGGAGAGCCCAGTTGTAAACTTGGGAGTCCCACTGAACTTTCACACATCATTTGCATGCTGTTTACAAAATGTTGGAATGGTGACCTTTCCGAGGTCACTTCCTCTTTCGGTACGGCCCTGGTGTGCATACATACAGAACACCTTCTGCATACATTATACTCACGGATCAGTCAGTTCTCCATTTTGAGTCGATACACATTGACGGCATCCAAAACAGAATCTAATTCAGAGTAGTTACCATTGGCATTTCAGGTTACTCTCTGCTTCTCTTGAGGTTCCTACCTCTTGCCATATCAATGTGGGGCGGAGCAGAACAGCAGTGTTCTACTTCCATAGGCTGTCTCATGGCTGACTGACTCATAGACCTCACTCCCTTGAGTGACTAACATTCACAGGCCACACCCCCAAGTACATTAAAGTGTATCAGAAGCTGGTTTAATATAATCTCACTGAAGAATTTCAGCGAGGAGTGTATTCTGAGCTCATAATGGTTTACACTAACAGAAGGTAGAAAATTGATTAAACTACGCACAGAAGACTGCGAGTACTAAAGCAGTGTGACTTGAGCAAATGGATCCTAAATTGCACATGTATAACTTTGGTGGAAGAAAACTAAGCTGCTTTTCACCAAACAAAAATTTTTATTACATTGCTCTCTTTGGCTAGATAAAACCAACACGGCATAACCAGCTTAAAAAAAAAATGCAAACAAATTAATCTCCCTGTCAAGGATACAGTCCAAACACAAAACACCACTTCACCCACGAACGATGGAACAGCAACAGGACTAAAACACTATTATTCTACTAGTGAAAAACAAAGACAGGGTCTTTAGAGTATCTTGTTCAATCAGTAAGATCCAGCACATCTCTCTGAGGAAGATGAGACTCGAGAGGGCAAGAAAACACACAGGCGATCGTGCTCTATTAAAAGAGAAGCTCCCACCTTCAGCTGGAAAATACACCTGAAAAATCATCGCGGCTCTCAGGCGGCTGCTATAGGAGATCCTTAATCGCCTGTAGCTAACAGGCTGTCCAGCCCTTTCTCTGAAATGTTACCGGGGCTCCCACTAAGACCACGCCTTCACACGCCACCTCGGCACAGACCGGCGCTTTAAAGACAAACGAGTTTGAAAATGAGCTGCTCTGTGGCCACATGCCACTGAGGTCCAGACACCACAAAAGGACAAAGCAACCCTGAAACCTAAAGACCCTGAAATACGCCAGGGTGCCTGAAGAAGATAAAATATGACCCTTCGGCAAGTTTTTTCAGAGATTTATATAAGAGATTATTTACTGGCTCGCAAAATTGAAGTGCTTGAAGTACAATCTTAAGCACTATACAAAGGGCAGGCTGATGAGTGTAATGACGGTATAAACCCCTCATTGTCTCAGCAAATAAATGCTTTGTGTCGCAGGGGCGTGGAGGAAGGACGGCCTCCAGAGAGGAGGTGCTGCGGGGCTGGAAGTCCAGGCTCCCCTGATGCACCGCAGCCCTGAAGCGGCACAGCCAACAGCCTGAGGCTGGGGGGGCAGGTAGGGGGGAAGGTCACTAGTGAAGCTTTTCAAAGCCAGCAGGCTTAAAGTGTAACAGGAGGGAAGCAGGAAGTTAGTGAAAACAGGCGAGGACAAGAGTTGCGATAAAGTGCAATTTCATTACACGTTACGAAATAGTATTCGCCCCCATAGGCTGTACAAGCCAGTGCTAAGGTACATTAGCACTGCGGTATGAAATCACATCAAAGGCAAAGCTACAATTCATCTCTGTAACGTCAGCAGAGAAGCACAACCAACTCTATACAGGAGAAAAAATACTCTGAACGTTGCCACAGGCCAAACGCTTACATGGCACCTCTTTCAGCTGATGTGAGATCAGTCGTGTACGAAAGAACTACCTCGGGAATAGAGGAATTAATATAGTTAAATAAAAGCCAATAGGATGGGGTCATTATCCACGTCCACGGGGCCCTGTCTCACACATACAGGTGCAGGAGTATGAAGAGCTTTGGAGACGTCTGATACACTGAGTTCATTTGTTTTTATACAGTTTTGCCCCATAATTGTGAAAGATACGTATTCTCAGTGCTGCAGGATACACCCATGCTGTAGTGAGCTGGATGGGGTGCGAGGCAGGGCTGATTATTCACTCCCTGAGGAGTGTGGGTGGGCACGCTCGCTCGCTCGGGAGAGAGCCTGTGATCACAGGCCAACACACACCCACAGACGCAAATATGCGTTACTCTGCACACCGATACACACACAGACATAATCGCACACATTCAGTACACAAATACACAGACAAAAACACGTTACTCTATTCACCAATATACACAGACAATCACACACATACAGTACACAAATACACAGACAAAAACACGTTAATTTGTGCACAATTACACACACAGACAAACACACATATTCAATACACAATCAGACGTAAACACATTACTCTGTACACAAATGCACAAGCACATCAATACACAGACACAAAACTCAACCACAACACAGGCGAACACAGTGCTGGGTTCAGGTGCAGGCTGCCAGTCTGACTCACATCACACACGTCTTGGCTATACAAACATTCAGGTTAAGGTGGGCTGTGAAGGTCCTGCCTTTCTGAGCGACAGTCAAATGAATTCATGTGGCATTGCCCTCTCATTGGTGCTTCCAAAGTCTCCACTGTTAACCATGTGGTCGTATCTACTTCATACGTGTGAAAATACCATTACAAACACATCAAGTAGATTTATGCAACTTAACCTACATTCCACCAATCATGCATGGACAATTATAACCATCCACAGGGAGCTACGAATTATAATGGAGGCCATGCAGAGTAACTAAAGGAGAAGTTAGGCTGCAGGGTCAGCATTAGGACCCAGGGGATGAGGCAAGCCAGCAGGTATTACCCCTTCTGCTGTCCTGTCAGGACAAGTGGGAGTCAAGCTGATGATGGCGAGGGGGGGGTGTCATTTTGCGGAAAGACCCGGCGTGCGAAAGCGGCTGGTGCACTTTCCATCACGTGGCAGGTGACAGACCTCAGGCTGGCGGTCTACTCGCAAATGAGACGCCTCTTCAGAAGCTCTCTGTCGGGCCCGAGACACGCGCTCACCGGGTACCTACGGATCCCGTCACAGGTTCAGAGAGGACATGGCAAGAGTGACAGCCCTTAGGGCTCATTTTCAGGAGCTGCAGAAAGTTGGCATGCCTCTTAAGCTAAGGGGTGGTGGGAAAGATGAGGCATCGAGGCGGGAGGGGAGGAAATCAACGCCAGAGAACTGGATCCCACAGCCCTGAAGAGCCGCTCACCGAGAGGCATGTTGCTATTCCAGCCCAAGCTTACGTACAACTCCACTGACGTGGATGCAGATCAGTAACATTTAGGATGTGTGCTGTTATCGTGCACATTATTCACTTTGCCATGGGTGTCTAAAGACGTCAATCACTGATGTAGAGCAGGTTTGCTATTTATTGCATACAGTTTTTAACCTTAATATGACTTCAGCCAAACGTACCCTTTAACAGTCCAGCCATCTATCCATCAAGGGACGCCGTGGCATCATGCCAATCTGGTCAGACCACACCTCAGGTTCTATTTTTGTGAGATTTCCAGACAATCCCGAACCAGGTTGGACACACAATCCCTCTGACCTGTCCTGGGTGGCGTTTTGCTGTCCTGTCCAAAGGAATGACATTGACAGGTGTAGACAAGATGGATCATTCCTGGAGGCCAACATCTACTCTAAACAGCTCTGCATTTGTACAAAGCATGTGGATGTAGCTCTTATTAGCTTCCCCGGGAAAGCTGGGGCTGGAGAAGAGACTTGGTCCAGATTCTGACCTGGCATTGGATCGGTGCACTAGCTCTATTCCCTGGCATAGCTGGGTACATGAGAATATGCCCAATCTCCATGTGCTATGTGGATCTAGGGAATGGTTCCGACCGTGCGCCTCAACATATACCGTGGGAGAACAGGGTTCCACTGTGTGCTATTCAGTCATTCAATGAGTTTAGAGACAATCTTGGCAGCGGTGTGGAAATGGCGCTCAAGGTGACAGTTTTAAGGTCTCACGGTGATTCATCCCTATGGCAACAGCAAGACCGGCACAAACAGGGTGGACATGATGTACACCAGCTCACAATCATCAGACTACACGACACCTTTCAATATCTCAGTAGCTGAAGTGTCAAATCCCTGGAACAACCGGGGTTAAGGGCCTTGCTCAAGGATTCAATGACAGTTACTGTACTCAACTGCAGGGATTTGACCCAACAACCTTCTGATCACAGGCACAATCTGCTGATACCCACCATCACCTCCCTTTTCAAATAATTTATTGACAGAAATAATAGGACTGTGAGATAATAAAACAGCCACTGGCTGCTTATATAGAGCAGCTACATTTTGAACTTTCCTCCCATTAAGGTATGAAGTCACGTCGGCAGTGATTATATGTAAATTTCCGGCTCTTTCTTCCGCGCGATCAATGTTGCGTAATATTACGTTAACCATTACTACTATCAGACGCTAACCCCGGTCTCTCAGGACGAAAAGGCAAACACAGCCAGACACACCCAGCGCTGTAAAATCTGTTTACTCAAATATTTCATAGAGGCATAGCTTTAAAAGAGAAAAAAAAAAAACCTTATAGATAAAGTCTTTTACATGGAAGCAGGGAAGCTTCCGGAAGCTGGCCCGTTCTGGGGTCCTGCCCCGGGGAGTTTGGTGAAAACACTGACCCTCGGAAGCAGAGAAATATGCCAGCATGAGAAAAGTCACCACAGCGGCGACTCTGCTGACCTGTTTCATTTTCCGGCATTCGGAGTTCAGCACTATTTTCAGTCACTAAATTTAGCAGGAAAGTGCTTATTGATGCCAGAGGGAAGCAATGTGCCTTCTGCTGCTGTTGCTACGCTCTACAAAGCGACTCAGAGTCAGTCAAACACGCTGTCTGCTGAAATCCGGGGGCGGCACAATGCAGCGGCGCAGCCGAGTCGCGAGCGGGCGTCAGGAATGCTGGCTCTGTTCCAGCCTCCACGTTATTCAGGAATGTGCTCCCGTCCGCCGGGCCAGGCCAGACCGCAGGACCCAGACACGGGCTCCCCAGCTCCCATATCCCAGCAGCCTGGACATGGCCCCTGGAGGGCAGCCCCGCCACCGGGGACTCCCTCCCTGTTCTGGAGCTCTCTCACCACAGCGTCTCCTTGAATAAGGTTTATGAAACACAATGGTGCTTTATTTGTCTTTTGTAGAAGTATGAGTACAGGTACATTGGAATGCCTCTTTCTGCATATCGCATCATGCTCTTGAGGTTTATTTTGGATATTTGGACGCACACACCACAGGCAAAAGTAAAGCTTAGGGTTTATGCCGAGGATCAGCTGTCCATGAAGTGTGTAAGAGAAAGGAGTCTAAGGAGAGTTTAAAACACATTTTTCCCACACTTCCCCAAGTGATGTTTAGCTCCTGACCTTGCAGTTCTTTTCACCTTATGTAAGGGGTTTTGGTCTTCTGCAAGGTTCTGGTACTGTAGCGAATGATTTTCGGGCTTTACCTTCCACAAAACTATTGGCCAATTAGTTTAACTTACATAACTGGAAATGTAATGGAAGCTATAATCCAAGCAAAAATAGTAGATTACCTGGATTCAAATAACATTCTGAGGGATAGCCAACATGGATTTAGGAGAGGAAGGTCCTGTTTAACTAATCTTCTTGAGTTCTTTGAGGAAGCTACAAGAGAAATTGATCACAAATAGGGCTATTCAATTCAGGCCCTCGATTCCAAATCCAGGCCTTGTTTTCAGGTCTCCCAGGTAGTTCGTTTAAAAATTACTGATTCTGATTGGTCAGAGGCTTCACACCTGGCTCACAGGTGAAGGAAAGCTGGAAAATCAGCAGGACTCTGCCCTTGAGGACCGTGAGTTGAATAGCCCTGGCCTACGATGTGATCTACTTAGATTTCCAGAAGGCCTTTGATTTTGTCTCCCACAAACAACTCCTGTTTAAGCTAAAAGCAGACAGGAAGCAGTGGGTGGTTATTAGAGGTACAATGTCACAGTGGGCCTATGTTCATAGTGGGGTACCGCAGGGTTCAATTTTAGGACCATTATTGTTTACATTTACATTAATCATATTGACACAATATATACAGTAAACTGGTTAAATATGCAGATTTAATTACTGACTGGGCTGATATCTGAAATTTAATGTAGACAAATGTAAGATAATCCATGCAGGGAGCAGAAATATAAAGTACAGACATTTTATGGGTTCCACTGAAATAAAGGTAGCTGATTATGAGAAAGTCCTCGGTGTGTATGTTGATGCTTCCATGTCCCACTCTCGTCAGTATAGGGAAGCAATAAAAAAGGCCAATAGAATGTTGGATTATATCTCTAGGTGTGTGGAGTTTAAGTCAAGGGAGATGATGCTAAGATTAGCTGAGCTGAATCTGTTCAGCCTCGAGCAAAGGAGACTAAGGGGGAGAATGATCCAGGTATATATAGATTCTAATACGTCTGGATGCTGTTCAACCAAATAGTTACTTCAATATTAGTTCAAATACAAGAACTCATGGCCATAAGCGAAAATTATCAGGAGAACATTTTAATAAAAGAAACATTTTTCATTTTTGATAAAGCACTTCTTTACACAGCGTGTGGTTAGAGTATGGGATAGTCCTCCTGTTAGTGTAGCACAAGCTAAAACATTGGGTTCCTTTAAATCAGAGCTAGATAAGATTTTAACAGCTCTGAGCTATTAGCTGATTTCTGTGTCCCGGTGCCATTTCCTGTTTTTTATAATCCTGGAACAGCAAATCAAATGAATCTCTCTATTAATTGAAAAATGAGGTGGCTATTTCATTCCCAAAGCTCGGGTCTGTGGCTGACCCCGCCCTCAGTGCAGAAGCCTATTACCGCTTTAAAAGCCCTATCGGAGCGGCCTTTTGGGCTCAGTATGCGATACTCTAACCATTTTACAGGTTCTGTCTGCCAGCTGATGCTGCATCCATTATTTACTGCAGAACCAAAACGTCTCTGATCAGATGATACAATACAGGGATCCTCTGTTTCAACACGACCGACTGGCAGTCGACCTCAGGGAAAAGGCATGAACCACAATGGGGTCTCAACAGTCAGATAATTAGATTAACTTTGTAAAAACCTTCACTGACCCAGGTCTGGCTTTTGCACATTAAAAACTTCAGCAGTCCAGCTGAACACAGGTAAGGTTGTATGCAGAGACCTAAACTGTTTATGTTGATGCTTAGAGTGGAAAATAGAGAGAAAATCTCTAATAAAAATGCTAACTTGATGCAATTGAAATGCAGAGGGGGGGCAGTGACTTAACCCAAAATAATTACACTCTGCACACACTTTACGATTATTAAACAAGTGCATCATTACAGCACACACATACACTAACACACATACACTAACAGATCAACAACCCCCAGGAAACACGTACCATCCATCCACACACCATCGCACTGCTCTGCCAAAGTCGTTTTTCTGGCTTGCCTGTATTGACCTAAGCAGCTGGTTGGTCAGTGCGCTGGTTAATACGCCAGTCCCAGTGTCCTCTACTGCGGGGTTATTTTTAACCCTTTTTTGGATGTCAATTTTGTCTGCTAACAGCTAGATAACAAACTAATGTACCTACTTGAAATACCGTGGCAAAGTCGCCAACTTGGCGTCACACAACACACAACCCAACCCAACATTCTTATGCCGCATTAGTGCACAGTCACCCACACAACCAATCAAACGGATTTGAGAGGATTCGAAAATGTACGTTGGAACGTGACTTTGATTTTAGTGAATTATGCCGGGCTGAATTATGTATTATGAATTAGTATTTCAAAGTGAAAAAAAAAAATTTAATAATTAAAATTAGGCCTTAATCTTCACTGAGGGAGCAGGATAGTCCATCTGAGGGGACGATGGCCCTTTATGTTCCCCCCCCTGCCCCGTGCCACCAGGTTCCACGACTGGGGGTTTAATTCTTGCCCCAGCTTCTGCGTAAAGCATCCATCTCCTGCCTGCTGCTGTGCAGGGTCCTTCTCACTGTCTGAAGACACATGAATTAGGATACATTTTTGCATCTGTAAATTCCAATATTGGGTTTATATCATAAACTACATGGACAGAAGTATTGGGACACCTAGCCATTACACCCACAGGAACTTTTATGACATTCCATTCTAAATCCATAGGTGTCAATATGTAGCTGGTCCCCCCTTTGCAGCTATGGGGATGGTGGCCTGTGGATCAGAAGGTCGCTGGGTCAAATCCCAGCAAAGAGAACAAGGCCCCGAACCCCAGTTGCTCCAGGGACTGGCTGACCCATCTTTCACAAGTGCGCGTTGCTTTAGATAAAACTGTCTGATAAATAAATAAATGAAAATGTTCTTAAAACTAGACAGATGGATATATTATTGCAGCAGCATCTTCAGAAATTAGTCCAGCTGTACCTTTAAGGGTAACGTTCTGCATTTCACTCAGCCCTAACTGCCTTAATTATTTCTAAGTAATTATTTGGATGTTAAATCATCTCACCTAGATGCTAACTTCATTACCTTAAACCTGCAGGGAATCGGCCCTTTGAGGACCAGGGATGAGAAAGGATGAAGCATTAGCTTAGCGAAAAGTGGGCTGCAATGCTGGGCAGGTTATTTCTGACATCATATTGTAATGCTTTCCCCAGGTGGGGTGGCGAAGAAAGTCACATGACCGGGAAATGTGGGGGAGGGGGAGGAAAGGGAGTGAAGACAAGGCTAACAAAAATGGGGGTCAAGGGAGGAATGAAAGTGAAACAAAAAGACAAAATGAAAGGGCTGCTTCAGGCTGCAGAGTTCAGCACCTGGTTCATGGAGAATTTTCTGGGAGTTGAACAAAATGCTTACGTGGCTACATGCAGTTCAAAGTCTATAAAACAGATTAAAATAAATGTAGATTTAAAAACAAGCTTCAAGCTTTGTGTACTTGGCGTCTAATTAACCATCATCTTCGGCCCCCACTCAGGTGATTTATCAGAGCGAGCCGGACCGAGTCCCACCCCAGCGCTAAGAAAGGCTCCCATTGCCGATCATACTGTATCCGCACATCGAGTCGCGAACAGACGCTCAAGCGCACGACGCACCACAGAGGCTCGTACAGAACGAGCCAGCGACAAAAATGCGAGGTCAGTGGAGATGTTTATGACCTCGTTTCATAAAAGCCCCCCCCCACACACACATACATGCACACGTGGCCTGTAGTCTCACTGTCCACTCATCAGTAGGTCTGCTTTCCTGTTCCTTACAGCCATTTCCTATTCCCCACTTCCTCTTTGGGCAGCCAGCACGCTTCTCGAAAGCAGGTACTAAATAAATACAGGGTTCAGTTTTTGTTTTTTTACTGCCCCCCCCCCCCCTCACAGGTTCTGTAGAGGCTCGACGAGGCCCTTGCTTTTGACCCTCACAGCCAGTGGGGCCGACCACATCCATCACAGTCAGCGGCTCGTCATTCGAACGACAGAGCTGTCTGATTCAGCTGCCGTCTCATCTCTCTGCGCCTGATAACCCGCAGGGAAACCGGGCAGCTTCCATTCCGTACCCCACACGCTGACGGTCCCGATTTTACTCCACGGAAAGTGTGAAAGCTCCATTTCATGTTCACCTGCGGTGAGCAGAATTCCCCGCTGCCTTGTTTTGCTGCACATTTATTTCTCAGAATAGAACAGTAAGAGTGACAGGGGCCCAAAGTTACAGTCAGACTTCATTAAAGGTGATGAAAAAGCCTGAGTCACGTTGCAAAGCCCCACAAATACTTAAAAAGAAGAAATACTCCAACTGTACTCAATGACCTTACTCTACGCCAGAGGAGTGCAAACGTTACTAAGCTTAACCCTGCTGTCATTAGGGGCCTCTGCTTTGTTGTTGTATGTCGTGAACCATGCGACTCATATGGTTTAAAGCCACACTGTTTTTATGTTGTGTAAAGTGACAGTGAATTCCCTAATGTTGAGAAAGGACTTTGAATCAGTGAAGTAACATCAACCCAATAGGCTTCAGTTAATGTATTAATTAGTGTTTGTTAGACACTTCAATTTAAAATCCAGTGATTGAATATCCAGGTTTATGGAGGTGGGCAGGGGGGGTCCAGAGCCTCTTCCATACGCCCTGACAGGATGCCAACCCCCCAGCACTGGAGGCAGAAGGCAACAGCGCTACCCAATGAACCACCATTAAAATTAGCTGGATCTCTAACTGAGAATGATATTCTCTTAAAGGCGTATTCAGAGGTGGACATTTTAGGTCTAGCAAGCAAACATACAGACCAAGATTTCATTTCAACCAACCAGTTGTGTAAGTTTGTCAACATGCTGAGGGACACAAATATATGAGATGTACTTATTTATGTACTTATGAAGGCCTATATTCACTAAGAAAAATAATGAAGCCCTTAATCTGTCCACGGAATGGAGTAGCTGTACCAATGAATCCGCCGCCAGAATGGATGAGAGACCATGTGACCGCCAGAGGCTTTCAGCCGCCTGACTGTATTTAAGGAGCCGCTTTCCTGCTCTCCTCGTCAGCTGCATGCTCAGAACATCTCATTCACCCTTCCCCACATGTAAAATTCATTCCAAGAAAGGCCGGGTTTGGACAGAGAGCCCGATCAAAGCCCTGGTTAAACCATGAGGGAAGGAGGAGGAAGATTGTGAATTATATTATACTACATCGTAACTAGTGGTGTAACTTTCAAAAATGCTATAATCATCCCAGGCTGGACACTTTTTTGGCACTTCATGCTCTGATCTCTTGTATACACAGTAAACATTGTTTTAGCATAATTTGGATTATTAGGGTTACACAGGTCACATAAACAGCTTCCCAATTACGTCAGCCCATCATGGGGCATAACCCACTGAAGTGGCTCATGTGCTCCTTCACAGTTCGCTTTGACACGCTCTTTCTGGTTCGGCCTCACCAGCCTCTGTCCGGCCCGCAGGTCAGGCAGAACCTCACACCAGCAAGCCCAGGAAGAAACGTGCTTGGGATGTACGAGACACCAACATGCCACACTACACCGCCCACCCAGACGAAGAAAAAACCCAAGTGGGGCAGAGGAGCACCCCCGGCAGACTCACCAGGACGCGGTTCTCAACTTTATCGCCCTTGATCTCCAGCTTGACTTTCTTCTTCAGAGTCAGTTTGACCCTCCTGCCCACGGCATCCTTAATGCTCTCTGTAAGGAAAACGGGCACATGGAGATCAGGAAGACCGGCCAGACGGGAAAGACGCTGTCATTCACTTCGAAAATCCGCAGACTGACCACAGACGACTTAGCATCTTATAAACTGTATGCAGAACTCACTCACAAAAACTCCACACAGCCCAATCAAGGATCCTCATAACTTTAAAACCATCTTCAAAACACAAAGGGTCATGAGACATTTACAAGGAAAAGAGGAAGATTAAGGAGGTCTTACACTGTCAGATAGAAGGGTGCAGCCCTGGTACAGTCATGCTCTCCAAGGTACAAACAACATTAATGTGCCCCCAATGGTACAAAATTGTTAGTCAGAGTCCATTACTGTACCTTAAAAGGTACATTTACCTACAGCTAGTGTACAACTGGCAGAGCCTTGAGGGTACTAGTACAAGTGATTGTACCCTCAAAGGTACTAATTGGTATTTTTTCTGTAACAGCTGAAAAAAATCTGAGTTTTCCAAGCATTTTAAACTACTGATGGGCAAAATGATTCATTCAACCCAAAGTCAGGCAGAATTATCAACCACTAGTAATTAATGCCTGAATTTAACCTCAAAGGGAACCTACAAAGTGAAGTGGGTTTATTCTGACATTTTCTGGAAATACTATGAGCAGTTACCAAAACTGTTTGTATAATAATCACAGAAACAAACAGTGAGGCTTATATTCCAGAAGGCTGATGGCAAAAGCAGCTCTGCGACTCCGATTTCACCCTGGCTCCTCCTGTCCAAACGGTTCATAGAGTCCCACACTTTTTGGACACGTAATCTGGAAGTGGAATTTGGCCCTTGAAGTACAGACCAGTTCTGCAAACTGCAGTGTTCAGCCAGTGCGCAGTGACAAACCTGGCAGGAGTGCCAGACGTGATTTAATGGATCCACCTCCTTCGCAAGATCCCATGAAAGAGAACATTGAAGTAGTCAAACTCCAGCCAGCCATTAAGAAACCATCTACCACTTTTTTTTCCCCTGATAAATAAAATATCAGCTTATTGTGAAGACTGACTCGTGATGTAGCTAAAACCTCCAACCAGCAACCTAAACACAACACCTAGAAGTCTCCAGATTTAGCTTCCAGTAACTCAAGTGTGAATAGAAAATCTGTCTGGTGACCACCCATGAAACAGCACAGATCTAGAATAAAGACATAGTGCCATATGATGGGCAAACACACGCCACAATTTCACTTTCTTTTCTAAGCGACCCTGAATAGATTCTGCTGCTGCCTGAGCCTGAAAACAAAGGGACAAGTTGCTCACACTGGCTCCTCTTTAGTTTTCTCCCTCTTCCTGCAGGCCCTCTCTCTCCCTTTCTCTCTCTCTCCCTCCCTCCATCCAGGTAACAGCCAAAACCTATTCGCCGAGCCGAGAAAGAACAATAAGCTCCAGCGCAGCCGGTTCGCTGAGGCCAACGGGACAATGCGGTGTCTTTCTTCTATTCCTCACCTGTTTACCACATGGCCGTTTGTCTTATATGGACTTAACTGCTCTGCAAAGAAACGACAGCAGATACAGAAGCTGTGACATCGTGCGGTGACTAATTTACCAGCTGCGCCATACGAATCAGCCGTCCGGTTTAATTATCATGATATTCACATGTTCTCACAACATCAGCATGTTGATTTTATCTCACAATGTTCGCCTGATTTTGGCTTTGCAGTACAGCGATTTCACATCGCAGAAAACTTCAAAACAAAACCCCAAGTTTGGTACACAGGTACAAGAAAAATATCTTGCCCTTTTCTTTTTAGATTAGTGTAGACGAGTTTTGACACAGTACCACCTAGGCACGGACATGATTTACAACTGATTTTTTTATGATGGTACCGATTTACTGTCCTGTCAGCAGTTTGTCCCTTTGGTGTCACAGCAAACGGCAGCAACACGTTGGCCCCTCTGCAGCAAAGCTATACGTGCGCGCGGAAATGCCTGCGCTCTACTGCACACTGAATAAATTCTCCAAACACGATTATCTTAGGAAATTACTCTCCTTAAGGTAAATGATGCACCGATGCATGAAGCGCTTGAAATGTCATCGCTAGTAGTGGTGATTGAGAGATATACTACTACCACTAGTTCAAGACCTAGACCGCTTAACCAGCACAAATAGTAGGATTTGGTAAGGAAGTTAATTACAAGGGGGCTGTGCAGATCGAGGCTAATAAATAGGCTACCAATAATAATATAATTCTGTTTCAGCAAAATTCCAACCAGCAGGCGTTAGGCGCACTACTGCGGTCGATAATGAAATGAGTAATTATCGAGTAATAAAAGGATAAACAAATATTTAAAAGCCTAATATTCCATCAAGGAAGAATCCGATAAACACTTCCTCGGGTAAATTCTGGAAATTGTCAATTATTTGTGATTTACATCCAGCTCTTCATCAGGATCACGCATAGAGGGACGCGTGTATGTGAATTGCATATAACAGTATATCCACGACATTTTCATAATAAAACTGACAAATGCACTGCTTGTACAACATTCTTCCACTGGGTAAAAACTGCAACAATAGCGATAAGCGCTGTATGCATGAACACGGGCGATAAGCACCGCGGAGTCTTTACCAAAATAAACGAATCAAGTGTAAAATTGTTAAAAAATAAAATAAAATAAAAATCTTTTTCTTACCAAGCAGGTCTTTGGGAATATCGGATGTCTCCTCGCTCATTATGTCAATTCTGTCCCGCAGATTATGTCCAAATTAATGGTATCCAAAGAACAAAAAATACAGTCGGACTACATAAAATGTAGGTGACAAAAACGGGGCAGAAATACTGGTGCTGTATTTTCAGGCTGCGTTACATGTTTCCTTCCCTGCGAGATGTTGGGACGCGGTCTCCGCACACGCCTCGGCGCATCTCTCCTCACTCCCGGGCACCTTACAATGAGCACAGCGGCAGATGTCGCGCATGGAGCAGGAGCTGGGCGGAAGACTGGAGCCCACTTACAAAAAAGGAGAGAAAGGGAAAGCAGAGGGCTCACCTCGCGAGAATGAGCCGGCGGAAGGATCACACACCCTCGGCGGACCCCACGGCACCGCGACACGGGGCTGATAGAGGAGCCCCTCCTCGCACGACGCCTTTCTGAGCCGTAAGCGGTGGGGCGCAAAGCCGAAGCTCTACAACAGAGGGATGGTGACATCTACTGGTAGGACCGTTAAGTACGCGTCTATTCCATCCATCCATCCATCTTCTTTATTATTATTTCTAGTACTACTACACAAAACAAAAATGGCATGGCATGAGAAATTGCTTTCCAAATATAATATGAGACAAGAAGATTCTTACAAGGAGGGAAACATAGGCCTATAATTGTGATAATTTGTTTTTAAAATATTTGCAAGCATATTGTGCACGAGTATAAGTGACTGAACCACAGGTATAATGACAATAATAATAATAACATTAGCACGAATAAAATAGTTATTACAGGACATATGAATTGTTTATGTATGGTCTGTTTTTACATTGTTGATTGCATTCAGTCTAGCCTTTGCAACAATTTCGCTGGAGAAATATCACACATTTGCACTTTTATTTTAATACAGGAAAAGACATGTGCGAGTAATTGGACCCTTGAAATGACATGAAAAGACAAAGTACAGTAATAATACTGTAAGCAGTCACATACAATAAGCACAAATAAACGTGTACAAACAGTTGTATAAACGCCAGATGCAATAAGTGCGTCATTTTAATGATTATACTGTGTGTGTGTATATATATATATATATATATATATATATACACACACACACACACACACACACACACACACACACACACAGTGGTACCTCATAACTCGAACTTAATCCGTTCAGATCAAACTCCAGATCAAAAAATTACACCTAAATATGTTTTTTTTTTGCATTTAAACACTAAATGAACCGGATAAAACAGAAGAGCATATACTGTACTAAACACATCTAAGCACATTTATCAAAACAATAGTTTGTACAGTAAGAAAATAATGTGGGCAGTGGTGGCTTGATGGTTATGGAAGCGCACTTATAATCGAAAGATTGCAGGTTCGAATCCCCCACCAGCCAATCACCACTGAGGTACCTGAGCAAAGTACCGTCCCCAAGCACTGCTCCCCGGGCGCTGAATTAGCTGCCCCCTGCTATGTCACGAAAGTCACATATGGGTTAAATGCAAAGGACACATTTCGCACTGTGTGCTGTGCTGTGGTGTGTTAACAATGACCACTGATCACCAAATTCTAAATGTATCCAAACAATGCATCCTGCCCCGATTGTCCGCTCCTTCCGTGTGCCACGCCCCCTCGTTAACCCCGTTTGGAATCCGCGTGTGATCAGCTGTTTCTGGTTGTTGTTGTTATACCCTATTCGCTCCACCGGAAATACGTAATTTTAAGGGGCGTAAAGTGAATCTCATGGGCCCAATCCCAAACTATACCCTCGACACTCCGCCTTCATTTCGAGTCACACTCCCGCCGAGTCACCCTCACAACACGCCCTATACACTTAAACTGAAGGAAATTGTCACAAGAAAGATTTGAGACAGACTTGCCCTCGCAGCGCCTTTTTACAGTCTTCTTTA